TTAACTTATGGGTCTTGTTCAAAACATAGTTTCCCTATTTAAAATAAGGGTATTATAGGTTTTGCCCAAGATACCTCAAAAGTAAATACACAGAGATCAGGCTGATAAGTAAAACTAGTATTAGAGTGCCATCTGCTGTCTCTGACTTTTCTTTAAATACTTAGGCAAATCTTAGAAGGCATTTTTTTTCCTAATAGCTTTCATAGCTTTCCATTTCCTTGGCATTCAAAAACATGAAAAAAAATTAAGTGGTGACAGCAACTTTAATCAACAAATCTACCATATCTATTTTCTTGCACCAGGACCACAAATCTCTTCAGAAACAAAACATGCTAACGTTATGGGTATGCACAGCAAGGTAAATAATTAGAAATAACTCAAATTTCATTAGTAGGACTCTGGATTATCAAGTAACAGAATACTGAAAAGTTGTCTCGTCATCACAATTTTATAACCTATTCATAAGTATATTGAAAGCATTATTATTCTCCCACATTCAACTAGTTTGCTATTACATCTTAGGGATCTCCCATAGTATTTGTCCAGCTGATCCTATATGGCAAGGTTGACAGACTCCAGGACCTTCCAATTAAATAATACCATATTTCTGGATCTTTGCCTGCCCTCTGGAATGAGATTTCCTCCAAGATTTGAACAACTGCCAAGGTAGAGTCTTGGTAGATATTACAGCAGTTACATACCAATAATATACAAGCTTCTCTGTCACAATCATTCTTAATTCTACAGTGTTACTATACAGTAACAATAAGTTTTACCTTTGCTTAAATCACCTTAAATTACCACCATAAAATCTTAGTTTATAAATACAATTATGACAATAAAATATCAGAGTACAATCAAATTCCTAATATAATTCAATTGACTTTTTATTGATTTCCTTTGACTTATTTAAGATATTTCTTTTACGCAGAGAAAGAATGTACATTAAAGTCTTCCCTTAATGAACTAGCCCGGATTAAATTTACAAGCAAGTCAGGTTTTTTTGAAAAAAATATTAGTTTGAAACTATTCAGAAGAAATATACAAACTCTATATATTTGACACCAAAGTACCGGTATCTGTATACGTATTAAATAATTAAGTAAAGAAATTCATGTAGGTGTGTGCCTATATTTTCATGCTGTTTTATTCTATAATGTATTTTAGATGGTTTTATTCTATATTGTATTTATATTGTGTTTTAACTGTATTTTAAATGTGTATACCTACTGCTAAATTAAAAATGAATATGCATTTTTATGTAAGGTACTGAAATGATTTTGCCTCATCTTGAAAATCTAAGCTGGGGACCCCAAACATTTCAGCTCATCAATCCCTTCATGAATTTTCAGACAGTTGCTGGATAAAACGATAGTGGGAATTGGGTAGTTTAATGAAGGATTGGGGGTGACATGCTAGCAGTGTTCCAATATCTCAAGGGTTTCCACAAAGAGGGAGCCAAGCTGTTCTCCAAAGCATCTGGTATAGGGTTTCCTGCCTGAGCAGGGGGTTGGACTAGAAGACCTCCAAGGTCCCTTCCAACTATTCTATTTCTATTATATTCTACCTGGAATATTTATTATCTGAAATTAATTTAATAAATACAACTTTATCCTTAACTAATAGTACTACAAAGAAGATTTTTGCTCTTTTGGATAGTCCCCTACTTATTTCTCTGGGGAATCCCGAGTTAAGCAGACTTCAAACTGATGTTTTTAGAACTTGGATGGGAGACCAACAGGAAATCTGAGAACTGCAGGAGTTTGGTGAGTGAAAAAACACCCCAGAAAAGGTCAAGCCACTTTTTAAGGAAGAAATCTACAGAGCCAGTGGTGGTTTTGTGGTTAAGGCATCAGGCTAGAAACTGGGAAACCATGAAAGCCAGCTGGTGCTCTTGGACTGGTCACTCTCTCAGCTCAGCTCACCTTACAGGGTTGTTGTGCGTGGAAATTAGGAGGAGGAAGGTGTGTTGGATACGTTCACCGCCTCGAGGTATTTGTAAAATAAATAACTAAATAAATACATGGGAAATAAATACATGCAACCCCATAAAACCACCAGAAGTCAAATTTGGTTCAAAGGAATGGGAAATTAATAGTCAAAAGTTGCTTGACAGTGAGATGGCAGGCATATAAATTTAACAAATAAATAAGACACAAGAAAATAAAATAATTAACTAAATGGGTAACATAAATAGAGCCGATCCCAAAAGGTGATCACATGACCCTGGGATACTGAAACTGTCATAAATGTGAACCAGTTGCCAAGCATCTGAATTCTGATCATGGGACCACGGGGATGCTGCAATGGTCGTGAAGTGTGAAAAATGGTCGTAAGTCACTTTTTCTAGTGCCGTTATCATTCGGAATGGTCACTAAATGAACTGTTGTAAATCGAGGACTACCTGTATTTTAAAAACTCAGGAGCAGAAAAACATTTCTTAAGCCTGGGACTATTCTCGGCTTTTCCTGCTCCATTTTACCCATTCTCCCGGGGTTTTTGCCTGGAAGCGCTCTCCCTGTCCAGCACGGCTCCAAATCCGGGAAGCCGAGCCACAGGGTCCCCCCAACGCAGCCTGCGCTTCCCCGTACCCCAAACCCGGCCGCCAAAGGGGCGCCAGCCCGACACTCACGCGAGTCCAGCCCCACTTGGTAGCAGGCCAGCGGCTCCAACGAAAGCTTGTAGCCCTCGAACTTGGCGTCCAGCAGCAGCCGCTTGACGCGCAATGAACAGTTCGCCGCCGCCTCCATGCCGCAGGCCTCGGCCTCAACAGCCGCCGCTGACGAGGAGAGGTCTCCAAGCCTTTCGAGTCCCGGTCGCCGCAGCGCTGAGGCCGTGGCAGCAAAGACCCCCCCCCCTCCCGCGAAGGATTTTGGGTAGGAAAGGAGTGCAGTGCCTGATGGGAATCGTAGTTTTGGAGCGCGTGTCGCAGGAGACAAGCCTTTCTAGAGCAGTGTTTCTCAACCTTGACAATTTTAAGGCATGGAGACAAGCCTTTCTAGAGCAGTGTTTCTCAACCTTGACAATTTTAAGGCATGTGGACTTCAACTCCCAGAATTCCACAGCCAGCATTGCTGGCTGTGGAATTCTGGGAGTTGAAGTCCACATGCCTTAAAATTGTCAAGGTTGAGAAACACTGTTCTAGAGCTTCTGGGCGCTTCGTGCCGGGGCGTTGCAGTTTGGTGCACGGTCCTTTGCAGGATGGGGGTCAACGCTAAGGGTCTCCATCACCCTAATCCAGGGGTCTTCAAACCTGGCCCTTTTATGACTTGTGGACTTCAACTCCCAGAATTCCTCAGCCAGCGTGCCTGCCTGAGGAATTCTGGGAGTTGAAGTCCACAAGTCATAAAAGGGCCAAGTTTGAAGACCCCTGCCCTAATCAATTCAGTACAAAGCAATGCTGTTCAGATCATGAAGGTTGCTCCTTTTCTGCATTTGATTGGATGTAGTGGGCAGAACTATACGAAAGTTCCTAAGATGGATATTTGGGTTACTCCTTGGTCTAAACCAGTGTTTCTCAACCTTGACAACTCTTGAAAATTCTAGACTTCAATTTCCAGAATTCCCCAGGCAACCAGATTGACTGGGGAATTCTGGGAGTTGAAGTCCACAAGTCATAAAAGGGCCAAGTTTGAAGACCCCTGCCCTAATCAATTCACTACAAAGCAATGCTGTTCAGTTCATGAAGGTTGCTCCTTTTCTACATTTGATTGGATGTAGTGGGCAGAACTATACGAAAGTTCCTAAGATGGATATTTGGGTTACTCCTTGGTCTAAACCAGTGTTTCTCAACCTTGACAACTCTTGAGAATTCTAGACTTCAATTTCCAGAATTCCCCAGGCAACCAGGTTGACTGGGGAATTCTGGGATTTTAAGTCCACACTTCTTAAAGTTGCAAAGTTTGAGATATGCTGCTCTAAGCCATATAAAGTAATAAAGGCAATAATCTGAGAGACAGACAGGCAGAGGGTTTCTTCACTTTGGTTTAGCATATTAAGTGATCTCAATCATTAGGGTTAATGAAACTTTGATGTCTTGGTTATGACTTAATGTGTTGTCTGGATGAGGATACATAACATTTTGCACTAAAACTATGGTCTATGAACAAAACAATCTGCATCTATACACCATGCTAAGCCAAGATCAAGCAAACCACATTATGACTTAGTGCAGTGGGTCAACTTGCCTTCTCTGTCAACCTAACTTTTAGGATTTATTTTTAGGTTTAGTTAGAGTAATAGTTGGAATTTCCAGATATATGCTATTTCCAATGCAGTGGTATGTCTCTTATTTTGAATCTGGTTACCATTTTATAAAATGATTTCACTTCCCAATAAAATGTAAGTTGGATTGCAAATTTATTGGGAATAAAATTCATTGAATTGAAAGGGTCCTATTTCTGAACTTTACATACTGATGATTTTCTCTGTCACTGCTTACTTCCCTGTGTACCATTCATTTTCATGCTTTCCCAAAAAACTACCTGGAAACGTCAGAGACTAAACTTTACTTTCCATTCATTTTAAATAAAATAAAGGTCAACTCCCAATGGAACATTCATGTGTTTTTTTTTGGAAAGTGTAGAGAAATTGTTCATTTTTGGGGGGGGGGGATGTTTTTCCCATGTTCATAATGTGGTCTATAGTCCCAGGATTTCCTAGTGTCTCCCACTTCGAAACTAACCCGATCCCGCCATGAATTCTGTTTACTTTTCAATATAACCAAACCAAGATTCTTTTTTAAAAAAAGTAAATCCCAAATAAAACAGGTAATGGGAATACGCCCCCACCTCCATTGTGCTAAATAACTAGTTTAAAGTCAGAAGGAACGATTGCAGCATCAACGTAAACCAACCTAGCGACAAAAAAAAAGTACAGTACAGAAGAGCATTGTGGGAAAAGTAGTTTTTGTGTTAAGGCAGCGTGAAGGCGTCATGGAACGGCTAAGAGGCAACGTCCTTCTGGGAGTTGTAGTTTTCATTGGGCGTCGAGCCGTTAGAGCCGTGCCGCTGAGAACTACGCTTCCCAAATCTTTCTGCGAGGATTGAGGCAGGCTGTTGCAAGGCTTCTTCTCTTTAGTTGGGTAAAGTCTTGGGCATCCGGGAGGGTTGGTCGTGTCGCGAGTTCGAGGCTCCGTTGAAACCGGGTCTCCTCGGAGCTTCAGCTCGCGGAGGAAACAAGTGGCTCGCCCGGGAGGTAACCCGTTTGTTTGGGGTAGGCAGTGTATCTAATAATGGCTTTTGTACTCGTGTGGATGTCGATTCTTCTTTGAATTTGCTTGATATTCCCGTCCCCTTTCCCCATCCTTTCCAGTCTCCCTTCGTTAAAACAAAAACCGAGTCCAAATCTGACTTTTCAGTGATTGCGGGGCGGTTTCCAGTAGTATAGTTGTAAGCACCATCGTCATCATTTTATATTATTATATTATGAAACTGATGGGCGTGCAACTCAAAGCATGCAGGACTCTAAATGGGTGGTTTTCAGAGAGGGGATCCCCACGTTATTCAGTAACCTCAAGTGTTTGGGTGCTTGATCCACTCTACACTTGGAAAATGCATTTGTACAACAGGGTTACATGAGTTGCTGAATTAAACTCCTCTTAATGTAATGGGGAAATATATGGACTGGCTTTTTTAGCTGAGTAGGTGATGCATGTTATGTGAATGCAGTCAAAATACATACCATGCAGGTTCCTGGCAAATTCAAAAACAAAATTGGCAACATGACAAGGTAACTTATACCAAGTCACAATATTGATACTCTTATTTCAGTTGTGGTTCTGCAGTTTGTGGAGCTGTACCAAGAATTTATGGAAGCCAGAGATTATCCTTGAAATAGCTTACATCATTGAAATGAAATAATGATTATCATTAGCTAATTACATATTTATTTGTGTGACATATATTCTGCTTCTTTCATCCAGGAGACCAGGTCTCCATTTTTCCAGTAACTGTAAGATAGTGAATGACCCAGTGAGACTTTATGGCTGCAAGTACACTTGAATGCCCGATTCAAGTCAGGGTTTAATCCAGTGTTTCTCAACCTTGACAATTTTAAGGCATGTGGACTTCAACTCCCAGAATTCCACAGCCAGCAATGCTGGCTGTGGAATTCTGGGAGTTGAAGTCCACATGCCTTAAAATTGTCAAGGTTGAGAAACACTGGTTTAATCCAACCACTAAGTCACATAGACTCTTCTTTACCCTTTTGATAAAATGAAGGTTTTCCATCTTGCCCTTTCCTGCTTCTTTGAACTGTTCAAAGATGCATATACTAGAAAAAAAATCAGGGATAAAAGTTGGGGGGGGAGGGGAGAATCTGAGTTCACATGACACATCAAACTTAATGTGGAGTCCTTTAATCACAGCAGTAAATCTTAATCATACAGAGTAATACTCATCAATCTTTCCATTACATTGATACCAGTTTCAGATTTAAGTGGGAACCAAAATTAGGTTTGTGTATCCTCTGGCATGAAATTGGCAGTATTGTCAGTTTCTGGGATTAGACTGCACCCTCCTGAAAAAATGAATGAAAATGAATGTATTATATATGACAGTTAAGTCCATCTGCTTCTCTCTCTCTGATTTTCAGTAGATCTGATCTACTTGCACTCAGGTGGGAAAAATGAACAAAGATGCACAAATGAGGGCAACTATTAATCAAAAGTTAATTGAAACAGGAGAACGAGAACGGTATGTGGGTTTCATTTTTTACTCTAGTTGTAGAACTGCATTGCTCGCTTGTTTAATGTTTTTCTAGTACCCAGTATGGATATATTTCTAATGCTGTTGTTTTTACAGTCTTAAAGAATTATTGAGAGCCAAATTAATTGAATGCGGTTGGAAAGATCAGCTAAAGGCACACTGCAAAGGTAATTGTCACTTTGGAATAGATTGTAACTCTCACTTCATTAATTGGTACCAGGAAGTCACAAATCTAATATTCATGTAATATGTATGTTCTCATGTTGCATTTTAAATTGCAGATGTCTGATATGTAGACCATATTTTTAAAAAGGAAACACACATTGCAGTGTCGTACTAATACATGATTCCTAACATCTGGCCTGCCTAAGGAATTCGTTAGTACCCCTCTCTCCTTTACTTTGTCTTTTTTCAATATTTATTTGTACCTCACCTTTATTATTTTTACAAATAACTCAAGGCAGTGAACATATCCAACACATCTTCCTCCTCCTATTTCCCCCACAACAACAATCCTGTGAGGTGGGTTGAATGGAGAGAGAGTGACTGGTCTAAGGTCACCCAGTTGGCTTGAACTCATGATCTCCTGCTATCTAGCCTTGTGCCTTAACCATTATTAGACCAAATTGGCTCTCAGTCATTGTATTTTTAACAGACGTTCTGAGATTAATGCAAAATATAAGGTATATTTGTAGAATATGCTGAGTTAACTATAAAGCTAGCATGGAATACGACTGGGTTTTTCTGAAACTAATTTCCCCTTCCTGCTAGCCTGCAAAATAAGCTGTTTTATCTACACTCTTTCTTCCCCTCCTCCTAGCCTAATTTTATTTTCTTTCCTGACAAAAGATACACAAAAGGATGAATGGAAATTGCAATCAAAATGGTTTCTATCCACAAAGATTATGAACCTCATCTGGGCCCTATAAATTGTGTTTGTGCATATATACATACCCACAGATATTCAAACATACACATACATTTATATAGACATATACATATACATTCACAAATATAGACGTACACACTGCATGGACAAGTCCCTGCAGGCAAGATTTTTTCAGAAGTGATTTGCCATTACCTCCTTTCTAGAGCTGGAAAGAAGTGTCTGGCCCAAGGTCCCACAACTGGCTTTCTGCCTAAGACAGGAGTATTACTCATAATCTTCAAGTCTGATGCTTAATTACTGCACCAAACTGGCTCTCTATATTTTGTATTAATTTTCTTTATTCCAATTACTTTGAAAGGGAAAATTTAAATAAAATAGCAATGTCAGCTAGGTCGCAATGGTATCTAGTTATGGACCAAGATAAATAGGTCACTCTCTCAATCCAACCTACCTCACAGGGTTGTTATGGGAAAAATAGAAGGAAGATGTGTTGGATTTGTTCGCCTCTTTGCGCTGTTTGTAAAAATAATAAAGGGAGGATACAAATATTGTGTGTGTGTGTGTGTGTGTGTGTGTGTGTGTTGGGCGGAACACCCAGTTTACCAAATGTAAAGCAATCTGTTCTGCGTTTTACCCCAGTCTAGGAGCATCTTTTGCAGGCAGAACAGATTGCAAGCTGCCCAGGTTCGAATCCCAGAAGGGTAAGACTAGCTGGTGAGAACTAAAGAGCTTGAAATAGCTATACTAGTCTCCCATTTAACTCTTTGTCAGCCACACAATTTTTTATATATAGGGTCTGTGCTATTAAATTTAATGTGCAAAAGATATGTATTATGTCAATTTCTGTAATTAAAACAAATTTCTCTGCTTTTATCTGACTTTAACCTGCCTGCTTGTCTTTATCTTGTTTAGATGTCATCAAAGAGAAAGGGCTAGAACATGTTACTGTTGATGATTTGGTGGCTGAAATTACTCCAAAAGGCAGAGGTAATAAGGTTCTATTGCTTTGGTACTCAGGCCTAAAGTATACACTGAGTTCTTGGAATAAATTGTTTCTAGGCACTGAACAGACTTTATTTGTATAGCTTTAAGAAGGTGGCTGATTCATGAACCCTCCAATGAAGTCCTGGGATTTACATTTGCATTTTATTTCAATGTTTATCCCAGTGTTTTTCAACCTCAGCAACTTTGAGATGTATGGACTTCAACTCCCAGAATTCTTCAACCAGCATGCAACACATCCTGGGAACTGAAGTCTACACATCTTTAAGTTGCTGAGGTTGAAAAATACTGTGTTTTCAGTGCTATTTTATCTTTGAATGGTTGCTAAATGAATAGTTGTAAGTCGAGAACTGTCTCTATTCTGTATTGCATCCTCAAATATGTTGCCAAGAACTGGACACTAGGATAGGTAGCAAAGTTGAAAAATGACAAAGTGAATCCAAGGAGTTGGAAGCACTCTTTAACACCTTCTTAAAGCACTTCAGGACCCTCTGCAAATCGTATGTCATGTATCTGTGGGACATATGAGCCCAATTGCTTTGACTGACCTTTTCTTTTCAAGTCTGGATTGCAACACAGTGCAGAATAGAGTTTAGCTGTTCAATTCCATGATATAGAAACGGGGCTTCTTTCAGCTGCACTGAATTTGCTTTTTGAGCAGTCATATTATATTGCTGATGCACCTTTTGATCGATTTCAATCCCCAGGCACTATTCACAAACAAGGCATCCCATATCCTGTACCTGTGCCTTTTGATTTATTTTTCCAAATGAAATTTTCACCGGTCTCTACTAACACATAATTCATTTATTTTCAATCCTCCACTCTATCAAGATTGTTCCAAAGTTTGTTTCAGGCAGCTAATACTATTTTGGGGTTGAACTTGATTTGGTGACTCACACGGACACATTCATGTTGTCATCTTGATATGATTCAAATGTTGCCATTCCGTACTTTTTGTAAGAATTTTGATTTCCCATTGAAGTCCTACCCATAGTCAATCATACTTAGCTTTCTAGATTGCCAACATCGGTCAGATGGTGCCACATGACAAATATACCTGCAGCCACGCTCATACACATAGAAAGGCACAGAGGATAGTATAATACTGTATAAACAGTACTCGACTTTTGACTGTAATTGAGCTTGGAATTACCGCAGTAAGTCATGTCAGTTGTTAAGCAGATCACCGTGTCCCTGTGCCCAATTTTACACCTTTTTTTGCTGTGAACAAGTGACTGACACTGGACATTTTTTTTTTTTGCCGGAAACCAGAAGTAAACATCAGTGTCCAGCAGAAAACATTATACATTGTAATAAAAAAGCTGTCAATGTAGGCTGGTTGTCAAACACCCAAAATGCAGTCAAGTGACCATGGAGGGGTAGGGCTACCTATCGGAACTCGAAAACCTGGTCATAAGTAGCTCTGGGTAGGTCTGTTGTAACTTTGGTCACTAAGCGACCAGTCATAAGTGGGAACTATCTATATTTGAAATTATTTGCAATGTGGCGATGATTTCATCTTGCTCTTTATTATTCTTTTTCAGCTTTGGTCCCTGATAGTGTAAAGAAAGAACTTCTACAAAGAATAAGAACGTTTCTGGCTCAACATGCCAGTCTTTGATCCTTCCTTTTGAATCTTACCATGCTTTAACATGCGGTGTTCAGTGAATCATATGAAAAACTGGATGAACATTTTTCATGCTTCAGGATTAAAGTTCATTATTTTTTAAAAAATATTTCATTTACTTACTCCAAGTCTACTTCCATATATCAATTATTATTAATGTTTTAATAAAAGAAAAATGCCAACAACCTGTGCTTAAATGTTAAAATCAAAAATGCTTTGCCATTAAAACAGTGTTGCGTGTCTTAACGGGTCTGACCTGTGTCAATATACTTTAATATTAAATGGCTTCTTGGCCATCCCGCTAGATGAATCCAGCAGAAAGGATAAGAAAGCATAAATTCTAAATTTTTGATGTCAATTGCAAAACAGCACTGCAGCAGAGGGAAAGCAAACTGTAAAATAAATTACCATGGCTCCAAATAATGGCGCATGACCAGTGACACCATGAAAATCCAGCCATTGCCTGCTTGCCAGTTGACCTCTGATGAAAATGCCAACATTTGTGTGTCAGCATCTTACACATATTGTCATCTGCCTGCTTTACCTCCATCCCTTGGATGACCAGGAGAAGAATTATTCCTCTAAAATAATGGAAGGTACAGCATAGTAAAATTTAGATTCCACCTACTTTTAGCCTCTCACAGTCCATAATGAGTAAGTAACAAGATGAGTTCAGTATTCTTTTTTTTAAAAGGAAAGTAATGTAATGTGTTCCATAACCAATGAAGCCATATTCTGTAATCTGCAACACAATTTGGGCCAAATATACTAATACCACTCTTGCTACAAGACTGTCGGAATGTCAAAAATACAAGATTCTCAGAAATCAAACTTATTTCTTACTTATTAGTATAATATATGGAGTTTGATTGTAATAATTAGCAGAAAGCTTTAAACTTGAATGGCTCAAATAGATGTGAGTCTATATCAGGGGTCTTCAAAAGTGGTCCTTTTATGACTTGAGGACTTCAACTCCCAGAATTCCTCAGCTAGGCATGCTATCTGAGGAATTCTGGGAGTTGAAGTCCACGTCTATATTGAGCCTAATTATGGTAGGATTGCATTTCATGTCTAGTTATAGGTAGTCCTCGGCCCTATAATTATTCCCTTAGTGATCGACCATTCAAAGTGACACACGACTGTTGCAGCCTCCCCATGGGCATGTGATCAAAATTAGGATGCTTGGCAACTGGCATGTATTTATGATGGCCGCAGCGTCCCAGTGTCATGTGATCACCTTTTGCGACCTGACAAGCAAAGTCAATGGGAAAGCCAGACTCACTTAATAACCACGTTACTACCTTAACAACTGCAGTGATTGGCTTCACAACTGTGGCAAGAAAGGTGGTAAAATGGAGCAAAACAACTTGCCTTGCTTAGCAGAGAAATTTTGGGCTCAGTTGTGGTAGTAAGTTGAGGACTGCCTGTATGACTATTGTAAGCCAGAACCAGACTATGTGGTATAATGTGTGGCGGGCATATTTGTTACAACTAAAACTATCTTGAAAATAGAAGATTCTCAAAATGAGTGTGTGCATGTGCTTTACAAAGCTAGCATTATTTACATTACAAATATCCAGACAGGTGGTAGCAGATTGCATTTCTCTGTTGCCAACTTGTGATCACCCTAATATTTGCAGCCTAATTATGGTAGATCTAGTAACGCATAGATTAAATGTAGGTAATCTTTTCTGAATGACAGTTCAGTTCTTTGAATATTATTAAGCACATACATAGATGTTAGGTCTCAATTCTGTAAAAAAAATGAAATGCTTCATAACCTTCAATTTGTATTTTTTAAAGATGAAACCTTCAGGGTAAGAGAAAATATATCTTTTGGGAACAGGAAGATGGGCCCCAATGAAAAGTAACATGAATACTCTAAAATTAATGTTTTTATTTTTTATTTTTAGAAACTGCACTGTTTTAAAGATTTATTTGGAGAAGCTCATTTTTTCATTTAGATAGCATCACTTGCCAGCAAAAGGGGTTAATTTTCCAGATTCATATTTATGCCATAAAATATATACTGCTCAAAAAAATAAAGGGAACGCAAACCCCTTCAGTTCCATGTTAAAATGTTCCCTTTATTTTTGTGAGCAGTATATATTATTTCTTGATTGACACATTTTGTTTACTAGAAATTTAACCGCAAGGATATAACACTCTTTTGAAAATCCAAACGTTTTGCCAGTCACCTTCTCTTTTAAAAATGGTTTTGAACATACTGTTAAAAAAATTCTCAGCCTACTATGTCTTAAGACATGTCTTTTTTGGACACTTTACGTATGTGTATTATATGTTTGATGGTAAAGAAGTTGCCAGTTTTATTTTGGAAGGCTCAAGTGTAGACCAGCATGGATAATATGCTGAATATTAATATTAGGGAGGAGGGCAATAGTAAGCTTAGAGAGACAATAAAGATAAGGAAATTTCAGTGAAACAAAAATCAAGTGGTGATATACAGTAGCTGTGAAAGCTGGATAGTGTAAAGGGGCAACAATCGATGTTTTGAAGATTTGGACATAGTTACAGGTAGCCCTTCTTTAACGATTGTCTCAGATTGGACAGCCATTTGTCCAGAATGGTACAGGGTCCTCTGCTTCGGCGGAGGGTTGGACTAGAAGACCTCCAAGGTCCCTTCCAGTCCTATTTATGACATGTTCTATGTAGCAACTCGTTGTAATTACAATGAATGCCACAAAGAAAAAGTAACTTTCCCAAACTTCGCAGGTCTGCAAAGCACTATAAAACACCGGCTTAAACCATTCCGTTTTCTCCTCTCCTAAATAAAAACATGCATATATTCTAGGTCAGAGAAAATGCGCAAAACTCCCAGGATGGAAAAAGCCCTTTCAGACGCGCCCAGCACAAACGGCTAGATCAGGGGTAGGCAACCTCGGCTCTTTTATGACTCATGGACTTCAACTCCCAGAATTCCTGAGCCAGCATGGCTCATCTTGGAAACCTCTTTCCCCTCAGCATGGCTGGCTCAGGAATTCTGGGAGTTGAAGTCCACGAGTCATAAAAGAGCCAAGGTTGCCTACCCCTGGGCTAGCTCAACCTTCTCTACTGAACCGCAAAAGAAAGGCGGAGCCCCAGATCACGTGGCCAAGCGGTCCTGCTTCGTAAGCTCCACCCCCTCTCCTTTCATCTTTCCCCTCCCCGTCGGCCCAGAGGGCTTAAGCTTTCTGCGCTTGCGCAGGAAGCTCCAATCCTTCCGGTTCTTTCCCCCACCCCTTCCCTTAATGCCGAGCCCGGTTGGCTTAAAGTATTGGGGCGGGACCGGAAGAGGCGACTGCAGGCGCAAGGCGGGGGGGGGGGTCTCTAGGGTGACAGGAAGGTGGAGCCGGTAGTGGCCGGTGCGGGAGGCTATGGAGGAGCCAAGAGCCGCGGCTGGGACGGAGGCCACCGCATCCTCTCTTGAATGAAGGGAAGTCGCGGTCGCCGAGGGAAGCGGCTGTCCCTCGGCTTGAGCCGCGTCGCCTCCACGTCCGCTGGACAAGGTGAGCGAGAGAGGAGCGCGCCTGCCCGGGAGTCGCCTTCCCTTGAGCCGCTTCTCACCTCCCGGGGAAGAAAGCGCGCGGGCGGGTCTTTCTTTCCCGGCTCCTCCCTCCGGCCGGAGACCTGATGAGGCGACCGCTGGTTGGTTGTCCAGGCTTTTCCCGGCCCGTGGGCGGCCTTGCCCTCCAAGCGAGCCTCCGGGAGGCCCCAACGTGGCTTTTCTGTGCCCGGACCTTTGAGGTGGAGGCGTTATACTCCAGTGCAAAAGCTCTCCCGTTACAAAAAATAAAACCATAAACCAGGGGTAGGCAATCTTGGCTCTTTTATGAGTCGTGGACTTCAACTCCCAGAATGCCTGAGCCAGCTATGCTGGCTCAGGCATTCTGGGAGTTGAAGTCCACGACTCATAAAAGAGCCAAGGTTGCCTACCCCTGCCATAAACGAATACAATGTAGGACACGTATCTTCCAAACAAACTTAGGGAATTTATTTTTTTTTTTTTAAAATTACCTGGTAGGCTTCCTGTGGTTGGTTGGTTTGATTTGTTTTCCTCTGTGGGAAAGAGAAGGGTAAATATTAGAACAGAGTTTCTCCGTTTCTTTCTCTCGTGCAAGCTGATTTTAGTAAGGTAATAATGCCTGGGGCCGTGCTGGGTTTTTTTTTTTCTTCTTCATTTCACCCGCACTTTTTGCCCCAAGTAGCAAAACTTTACTTTTTCTGATATTCACAGTGGCCTTTGAGAATAACATTGGCTCCTCTGAAGTGTTCAGCTTTTAATTCCTCTGGTGTACAAACTATACATACAATTTATGAAGTGGGAGCCTGGGTTTGACAAGCTTGGTTTCATTCTCACGAATTCTGAGACAAATGGACAGCCATTTGTCTGAAATGATATAGAGTTTCCTGCCTGAGCAGGGGGTTGGACTTGATGACCTCCAAGGTCCCTTCCAACTTTATTATTATTATTATTATTATTATTATTATTATTATTATTATTATTATTATTATTATTATTATTANACTGAAAAAGATATAATGCATACAATTCATACATTGTTTTTATAAAAACCATTTACTCAAAATTTTAAGATTTACTGCTCCTGTAGCTTTAGGAAAAAGAGCTAGTTTGGTGTAGCGATTAAAGCACCAAACTAAAAATCTGGAGACTGTGAATTCTAGTCCTGCCTTAGGCACAAAGATAGCTCGATGACCTAGGCCAGTTATTTGTTCCCAGCCCTAGGAAAGAGGCAATGATAAACTACTTCAGAAAATGCAGGGATTTTCCTGGATAGTTGACTCTAAGGAAACAAACATTAGGCAACAGCATCTTTTGTGTGTCATTTAACTTGTTTGATAGTTTGGAGCATATTTTTAAAATAGATTTCCATAAAAGCAGCTTTTTATTGTGGACTAGTTGTTTCTTTGACTAATAGTGTCATACAGGTACATATGAGGCCAAGCAATGTAATACTTTTTTTAGACTTTGCCAAGGTGTTTTAGAAATAACATGGGTTTTGCCACTCTGTTGCTGAACTGCTTTAAAGCAACCTTTTCAATTAACATTGAAAGAAGCCTTAAGTGGACCCTGCTATAGCACGGAAATAACGCTAGGAAGAAGAAGATTGAAAGAAGCCTAACATTTGAATTCAATCTTCATTATATTGAACCAGTTCAGACATTGTAGCCAAAAGTTCAGATATTGTAACCAAAATATAGTTTAGCTTTGAAAATTTGCTATTTGAATAGGCTCAAACTATTTGATGAATAGTTTGATCCTATTCATCCATCTTCTACTTTCCTGGAGCTTTTCATTCCTCTGAGATACACTACTCTGATGGACAAATATTTCTGCAAACAGTTTTCATCCAAATTAGGGTTTTTTTTTTTAATGTTTTTTCCTTGTTAGTTCAGAGACACATTCTCATTAGTATTAACTGTAATGCACCTAGTTGGGATATCAAAGAAAGTTAATGATAATGTGAAAATGGAATAGATCACAATATGATTTGGAAAGGAAGCACAAAGAGTGCAGCATAATGGCTTGAGCATCATGCCTGAACCATCCACGATTAGGTTATTGAGTTAGTTAACCAACTAACTTGCTGGCCTACCTTGTCAGGAAAAAAACAACACATTTTCCATTGTTGAAGTGCTTTAGATGTCTATAGATTTTGACAGTTTTTGTTGAGGTCTAGCACAGTATGCATATATATTCTACTAGTATTCTTGATTTCTTAAAAACCAGTGGGATATTTGGATATAGCAATCCTGCTTGCAGACTAGCACTGAGAACTGCATTAGATGTTCATCAATACCACACTTTCCTTTTGACTTTTGTTAGCAATATGCATTTGAAGTCGCACTTATGGGTTGTAGCTACATTGAAATGTATGTGCAGACTTCTCTTAGCGCCTATGGCTGCAAAAGCATCCAAACAGCATTACGCTTATCAGTACATTTTCCCCTCTTTTTCAGGTGAAGTCTTTCATCATGGCAATTACACAGTTCCGTCTATTTAAAATTTGTACATGCCTGGCAGCAGTACTATCTTTTTTTAAAAGATTGATTTGCAGGTAAATATCAAATGTTGCATGTGAGTTTGCTCTGATTTTTCCTCTAAAATTTCTGCCTTATTACTCTTGAGAGTTTTCTTTGTGTGTGTTTCAAATTGGGGAAAGGGGAATGTAGTATTCCTTTAATAGTTTTTTTTTATGAAGGTTTAAAATGGTTACAAACATAAAGTGAAATTTCTTCCTTAATTGAACAATGAATAGTGGCATAATTTGAAGTTGCATTGAGGTTTTAAAAAAAATATTAACGTCCTTTCTATTATCTTTGTATAGCTAAAGAAACTGATATAATAATGCTTAGAAAAACAGAAAACTACGGTGTCATGTGATTAGTTTTACCACTTAAAAATAAATATGTATGATACAAATATTTATACAAGAACTTGTTTTGTAAGTGTGTGCTTCTTTCTTTGCATACATAAAATGAGTAATTGATTGAATTAATATATATCTCAAGTATTCAGAGAAAGGGAAAATAATATATATTTTTCAGTCAGGAAAAAGCCACAAAGTCACATAATATAAAGAAGGACAGTTAGTAATATAATACTAGTATTCTGCTATGGTTAAGTTTTGTATGTTTTGAGAACTGCTGTGAATTGTTATCTGAAATTATACATACTACTTCTGTTAAACAGGAATAGGAATAAGTATATATTCAGAAAATATTTGTAAAAATATTTGATTTGATTTATAAAGGAAAAGGAATGGCAATTTCTCTTGAAAATTCTGATGATTGGAACAGGAATATTTTCCCTTTCTGACAGATCTGCTTTTTGTTTTTACTGTTTTCTCTGTCTTTATAAAGTTACTTTGCTCTTAAGGCAGGGGTGTCAAACTCGCCATGTCATGTGACGTGTCGTGACGTATCGTGACTTTTTTCCCCTTGCCGGAGGTAGGGTGGGCGCAGCTTCCGTGTGACGCATCTGGCCTGTGGGTCAGCAATTTGACACCCCTGTCTTAAGGTTTTGATTTTGTAGCACATATGCTACAGTTTTCTACACTAATTTTTTTATAATGTTTTACCCTTTCAAATATGCATGCCCAGCATGCATGCTAATTTTTTCACCTATCTGCAGGATTTGGAAGTTTAGTGATGCATATTTTTTATATGCTGTGGTAGAAATAAAATGGGGTACATGCTTTTAGTACTGAGCAGCACTCAAACATATAAATCTCTTCAATTGGGAAATGTCAGAGTTTCTTTACATATTATAGGAGAATCCATCTAAATGTGCATGAATATGATAGTTGACATACCATAATGTAATCTGTACTGTTTTATAGAAATACTAAGTTGTTTTCTTAAAGTTAGCTTATTTCTTAAATTTGATTCTACTGTACTTCTTGTCATTGCATCATTTTATAAAGGAAGTTCATCATATCTTAGTGAAAAATTCCTTGAATAATATGGATAGTAGAAGATGTGCCTTAAATTTTAAATTGGTAGAAAAAGATCTGGAAAATAGAACTATTGGTTTTATTCTTAAATTAGGATTTTAATCAGTATGGGTAGTCCTCAACTTACAACAGTTCATTTAGTAACCATTCAAAGTTACAGCAGCAATGAAAAAAGTGACTTATGAACATTTTTCGCACAACCATTGTATCATCCCCATAGTCATGATCAAAATTTAGACACTTGACAACTGACTCATATTTATGACAGTTGCAGTATCCCAGGGTCTTGTGATCACTTTTTGTGATCTTCTGACAAGCAAAGTCAATGGGAAATCCAGATTCAATTAACAACAGTGTTAACAATTACAATGGTTCAGTTAACAACTGTTAACTGAAAGAAAGCTCGTAAAATGAGGCAAAATTCACTTAATAACTGTCTTGTTTAGCAACAGAAATTTTGGGCTCGATTGTGGTCATAGGTTGAGGATTCTCTGTAGTTAAAAATTACACAAAAAGTGCTAAGTTTTTTAAGTATTCTAACTTTTAATGTAGCTTTTAAATGATTTCTTATTTACAACTTCACTTTTATCAAATGTGTAAGAGTTAAAAAGAAACTTTTGTTTTTCAGGACTGGAAGAGGACGAAAGCTTAGTGGAGACCAAATAACTTTGCCAACTACTGTGGATTTTTCATCTGTTCCTAAACAAGTAATATATTGAATGATCTAGATATCAGTTTTTAAAATTAATTCTACCTAATGACCCAATAAAAATAGGTTATGTATTATGCACATTGGATGGCCAATAAAGAATGGAACTCTTTCCCTTTTCTTTTTAGCCAGAAGTAGAAGATTGGTCTTCATGGGATGAAGATGCCCCTACAAGTGTGAAAATTGAAGGTGGTAATGGCAGTGTAGCCAATCAACAAAATGGATTGGAAGAAATGGAGCCTGATTACTTTAAGGACATGACACCAACAATAAGGAAAACACAGAAAGTATGTTTTCAGCACTCACAACAGTCTAAAATTTATATTACCTTCTAGTGTGGTTGTTATTTAGCAGTGAAAATTGTTTTCTGTCAACCATACCTTTGGTAAATGCAGCAAAATAAACTTCTGGGACATTATTTTACCAAGAGTATAACTTTACTGATAAATCCACATAGGCACAGAAGTAGCAAAGCCAGTTCTAAAGTTTTCGCACGAAAACCAGCATAGATAAAATCCACTTTTTCCCCTGGACCTACCCACTGTTCATTGTCCACCAATCAATTGCATTCATTTTGTTTTGGAAAAAATCTGAGCCTCTCGAAGTTTTCCCAGCGTTTGACCTTGGAGTGTTGGGACTGTCCCATGCTACGATGGCTCACTTGCATTCCTCAATTCTCTCCCAAGCCTCTCTTGTATTTCAATACTTTCCGTCCTCCCTCCCTGTGTCTGTTGTCTGGTTGTGAGCAGGGGTGCGTAGCGAGTCAACCATGGCATTTTCTATCTGTGGCTCAGTTAGATAGCTTATGCAGTTAACTACTGTACTTTAAAAATAATCGTATCCAGTAGAAGTGCAGCATTTTGAGCAATTTAAATTCATCATCATAGACTTGAATATGTGTGAAACTGCCAAAGCAGAAAATAATTTTCTCCTTTCAGTTTTGTATCATAAAAAAACTTCATTTTTACCCAGAGTTTACTGACTTTTATGTTTGTATTCTTTGGGAGTACAGCAGAATATATATGTATAGTGAAGAAATAATTTACATTATTTCGTCCTTTCTGTTTTGCATTTGAAACGTAATCACATTCGACGACTTGGTATGTTAACATAATTTCCCAGTCGTTTTAATAAGTTTATATGCTGAGCCATATAGTTTTAATCAAGGGTGAGGTTAAAGAAAAAAAGTTTGAAAGAAAAACTGATTGCTACACATGAATTAAGTTATGTGGATTGACTGAGGTTATACATGTTTGTTTGAGGGTTTTGAAGGATTGCATGCCAACTTTCTTCTGACTGATGCTGTGGTAAAGCCCCACCTCATTCTATCAAGCAGCTGGACAAGCCTATTACATGCAAGCAAACATGCAGAGTCAAAAGGCTTTGCTTCAGTTTGTTTCAGTCCTATCCCTTACCATAAGTAGGCAATAAAGATATTGCATGTAATTAGGGCCAAGCGTGTGTGTAAGATAACACATTTCAGGGTATAGAATTCTGAACAGTCTGGAGTGTATATTATACTAATCAGCTAAGTGTCAACGCTGCAAATACTGTATATTCTTGCTTTGACAATATGCAGAACTGTCTGGTATTTTTATAGTTAAATCAGGCAACAGTGAAAGGGGAGGAGAATAAGGAAAGCCTGGGGAAAAAGAAACCGGAAGTAAATCACATCTTCCAAGTTAATTGAACCATGACCCCAAAATAGAGGCAGGGAAAAATGCTTGGAATGTATGTGCAACGGAAAAGAAAATCAGATCTTAGCATCCACCATGCCATACTGACATCTCTGTAATCTTAATAAAGGCTTTTAGGTTAAAAAAATGCCTGAAAGTTCTTTTAAGTGTTTCGTTAATCAGACACATGACACTAAGCTTTTGAAAACAACATTGGACCATCCGAGAAGTCAATAAGCCTGCAAATACCTTTAGCTTGCAAATGTCCCTTTCCTTCCATTTCTTTTGTAGATGTTAACAGCACAGAAGCATTTGCTCCTTTTAAACAAATTACTTTTTTCCTTTTCATCCATACTTACGGGTTGATGAAAAATGTAAGAAGAGCAATGCTTTCCATATTCGCTTATAACTGGGAGTTAAACTTAGCTCAGGAAGATGGCTGACCCTCAGTGGCCAAAAAAAGAGAAGGGTAGAAAGCAGTGGCTTAATTGTAGTGAAGGCAAGAGAAGAAGTGGTCTTGGGCCTGGAAGCACAGGAAATCCTGCTGGTCTTCTCCTTATCCTCATTTTTTTGGCCTCATGCTTTTAACAATCGTCATTGGACTTCTGTATTCAGCCTGCAAAATCCAGGTGTCCAAAGGCAACAGTGAAAAGAGTTTTTGCTACAGTGTCTGATTTTATAGTCTAAATCTGGTAGCCCCCCGAGTATAGGGCCCTAAGAGGAGCCATGTCAGAAGAGCAGCATGGAAAGAGAGAGGAGCTGCTCTTGCAGCCAGTTCCACTTCCAAGTTGCTAACCAGAAATCAAATGGTTGAGCTGACAGAGCTAAGGATGCTTTGATTGATTGAAAAAGGGATGGGAAATTTTTGCAGGGTTCAGGCCCACTGCTGCTCTTGCACTGGCCGGAAATGTAAGTTGACATCTGTGAAACAGCGAACATGGCATTGTTGCGTGACATCAGTTTTTATAGTTGGGTTAATAAGTTTCCAATTTTATTTGTTAATAAATAGCAATATTGCAAATTACTACTTTCAATTCATGCTTTTCAGATCATTGTTAAAAAACGTGAACCTTTAAATTTTGGCAACCAAGATGGTAGTGCCGGATTTTCAAGTAGATTAGCAGCTACACCAGATGTTCCTTTTATTCATCAATCTGTAAGTAACTTGTCATAAATATTTTTGTATGTATAATTTCCAGAATGTCTTAAAGAAGGAATACTAGCTGTTGAGGTTTTGGGGGGGGGGGGGGCATAGGTAAGACAAATTGATAGCCATAATCTAATAAAGCCTGAAGTTGTGTAAAAAAAAAATCTCATACTGTTATCTTAGGTACTTTAATGAATTCACCTGTTTCTCCTGTCATTCCAAATTCTCACTTTTATTTAAAAAAACATGCTCTTCTATACATACAGTTTTGCTTCTTTCAACAATTTTTATCCCTTACCATAGGTCATGTATTACCTATTACCTTTCAATCAACATCTGCATATCTAATTTTTCCCATTCATTCTCCCACATTTAGTAAATAGTCTACCAAGGTATTCATATTTATGTACTTCAACTTGCTTTTTACCATTTGTACATAACCCCTTCCTCGGTTTTTCATGAATTTTCAGATCAACATGCCAAGTATTTGAATTAAATTAAAAATAAAACTGGTGAAATAATTTGGAACGAAATCTAAGTGAAGGGATGCTGGAATGGGTATTTTAGAGACTTGGTTGGAACTGATAGTGTTATACTGAAGACTAAAATGAAACATTTTTTATATGTTAGCATCCAAAAAGAATTGATGAAAAAGAAATCATAAATGTGGCAATATTAAAAAATGAGAGGTTGCAGAATTAGATAGTATAATTGAGAAATATTAATGTATGGATATGTTTTATCTATGGACTGGCTCTGGAATTTGCTTAATGTGGCTGCATATGTGCCTGACAACTAAAGTAATGCCCTTATTATTCCCATAGAGGAAAGAGAGCAAAAGCAAAGGCAAAAACTACAGGTGGATTAGTTTATTAAATATGTTTAATTGAACATGATAGAATAGATCTTGGTGAGCAAGTATGGGTTTATATTGGGAAGCTCAGACATTTACTCAAGTATGTGAAGGTGAGAGAGGAAGTTGATGTGGAAGAAGAACATGATTGTGAATAATTGGAATTTTGGGATGTTTTGCAAAAGCATTTTTTTGTGTTGTCCCACCTATGCAGTTAATAGGCACAATCCCCTAAATTTTTAAGCATAATACAAAGAAATATGCTTACCCTACCAAGAATTAGGAAGTGAGAGGATGATGACCAAGAACTTACTAGTGTAGATTGCTGTTACTAAGCGATGTAGTCATAAAGAATGGTGTCATGTGACTACATTGATTAGTGACAACAATCCTAGCAGTCTTTCTTACCGTCATAACTCCAAGATATGCAGTGGCCATGGGGTGGCGGTTACAGTGACACAAGACTATCGGATTCAGGGAGCCATGCAAGTGCAGGAAGGCCATTGAATGGCGGGTGTGGTACTATACCAGCGCAGTAGGATAGAGCGTGTGGTGCTGTGTGAATGAAAGAAGGCCATGCGGAGGGTGTAGTGATGCAAGATTGTGGGGCGAGGAGTGCTGCATAAGTGCAGGAAGACCATGGGGTGAATGGTGTGGCTCAAGCACAGGAAAGCCTAGCCCTAGGGGACTTAGCAGAATAACCTGCAACCTTCCATGCTGGCTTCCCCACCAACTGCTTGTGGGAAGCTGGTAGGAAAGGTTACAAATGGCAGCCATGTGGCCATGGCTTCCTATGATGTTGTGATTGTGAGCTAGGAACTCATATGGTGATCATGTGACTATAGTGGTGCTGTGATGGCCAGAACTTTGAGAATCAATCGTACGCCAATTTTTTTCAGTGCTGCTGTAACTTTCAGCAATCACTGAACAAATGGACCTAAGCCAAGGACTGCCTGTAACAGATATATGAGAACATGTTAATTAAGAAAGTATTAGCTAGCATTTGAAAGTGGGTAGGTTTTTTCTGTATTACAATGAATTCATTCAAAGAAAATTGCTGTCTCTTCAATGCTTTCCAGGAATAAGGAAGTTACGTTTTCCAAAATTTGAATTGCAGTACTTTATTAGGATAATTACTCGCTAGTGTGAAACAGTATTTTGGAGATACTAATTAATTTCCATTTGCAGCCAGAACTAGGAGACTTGGAGACATGGCAGGAAAACAAAAATGCTTGGGAAGAAGAAGAAGATGCTTCCTGGCAAGCAGAAGAGGTTCTGAGGTAACTTTGCCAAATCCTGTAACTGATTATAAACTTTTCCATCCACCATGATTCAGAGAAGGTTCACTGTGACTGTATCTGGATATAACAACAAACCCTAGTTTATCATACGATCAATGAAGTCATAATGTGAGTTTTGTTCCCTCTCTCCTGGCATGGAAGTAAGAGCACATTAAAGCCTTTAGCTTTTCTTTGTATTTAACAACCTNTTTTTTTCAAATTGGTTTATTTTATTTTATTTTGAAGACTCCTTTTTTGCTCCAGGAAAAAAGCTATTCAGAAGTGGAAGTGATGGTATCTGCTTTGCTGAAATGCTTAAATGATGTTTTTATGTAGATGCTATGGAGATACACTTCCGAGCTGACAGCAGCAAATTTAACAATTTACAAAGTCTGTATGGTTATTTGATAAGATGCTTATCACTCTCTGGCACCCTGTTCTCTGCTTTTTCCTGTGTGGCAGGCAGAAAGATAATAGGTATATGTATTTCAAGGAATGTATGTTTATTGAAAGAAGCACAGAGGCTTGCTTCTTCCCAGTTCATTATAGGAAAGTGAGACTTGGCTATGACAGGAGATATCTAAACAGTGACTTGAATAGGAATAGGGTGATTAAGAAATATATGTGGTAAAACAAAAAGAGACAGAGTCGAGAATGAATAGACTCAAATCAAATGTGGATTGAGGTGATTTGATCATATAAGGAGAATAAGTGAGGATCGAATTATAAAAGAAATATATCAAGGAATAATGAATAGGTTGAAAGGAAGAGGAAGACTGAAGAAGTGGTTAGATATAGTTTATGAGATCTTCCGTAGGGGAAAGAGTGAGTAGTTTGAAGAACAAAAGACAGTGTATGAAATATGCCATGTTGGTAGAAGGTGGATAGTTTGATAGTTTACAAAAATACAGAGATATATTATGAATGGGATTGGGGTAAACTAGTTTTAATTATACTTCCTTTCCTGTTTCTTCTCTCATGCCTTTAATTTCCTTGATTTATTATTTCATACTCTGTCTTCTGTGCTCTGATAATGTTGGTCACCTTAAGAGAAAATAGCCTGACGGGAGTGTAATTATATATCCATGAACTATTGTTTCACATTAAAAACAACCCACAAACAAGCCAGCAGAGGGCTCAGCACACAGCTAACATTGCCTTTTAGAGTCCTGGATAGAAGGCGTTGCTTGAAGATTACCCTCTTTCTTCTAATGCTAGACATTGTGTGAAATGTTTGCCACGGTAAAATCAAGCTAAAAAGGTGAAATCGATTGTTTCCTCAAAGACAGTATGCTTTGGAGACAAACCTCAAAACAAACAAAGAAAATTCCCAAATGGGGGTTATTTATTTAATGAGTATTTAAGATCATGGTAGAAAAGATAAGGAATAAGCAAAACAAACATCAATACAAACATAATATTTTTTAAAACAAATAACATGTTCCATGGTTTCCAAATTAAATTGAATTCTATAACTGACTTATGTTTCAAGTATCAGGTTATTGTTTACAGATTTCCACTGCTTAATTTGTTCTATAAATTTTAAATTTAAATTTTCATTAAAGTGTCATGGCAGTTGTTATATAAAAAGCCAATTTGTGTATTATTGTGGCTTATTAAATGGCTTTTATATTTCTTTTATTTGATTTTAATTGCTTTTTATTGTAACTGATGTATTCTGCTCTGAATCATAAATGAGTTAACATTTAAGCAGCCTTATAAATTTTGTAAATGAACAAATGGCCATTTTTACTCTCATCCATTCTAGTTTCCCCTTGTAAAGTACCTTGCATCTCTGCAGGCTCTTGAAGGTGTTTTATCAACATACACATTGAGCCTACCTCTTATTAACAAAGTTATGTCCTTGGCTTTGGAGAGCATTTGTTCCTAATTTCAGAGAAAACATAAGAACAGCCCTGCTGTATTTGGGAAGTCTGAAACTTTTGGCATGTTGCCTGTCATTCAGAAAGTGGTAAACAACCATCGCAATTAGTGTCCTTAAATAGCCTCCTCCTGTATGAATTTGTCATGCTCCTCCTTTAATAACTGCCATAATCATTAGATTCTGTCCGTGAGTTCTATATCTTATATATGCAGTGTGCAAAAAAAAAGTATTTTCTTGGTTCTACAATTGTAGGGTTACAACTCTGATAATGGGAATTGTAGTCCTACAACAACAGGTGTTTGGAAAGGCTGACTTGAGAATTTGGGTCATGAGAGAAAGTGGCCCTCTCTACAGGTAGTCTTGACTTATGACTACAATTGGAACTGGACCTTCTATTGCTAAGCAATGTGGTTAAGTGAGTTGCACCTGATTTTAAGACCTTTTGCCATAGTTGTTAAGTGAATCACATGGTCTTTAAGTGGAATCTGAATTCCTCCATTGCCTTTGCTTGTCAGAAGTCCACTGGGAAGATTGTAAATGGTGCTCACCTGACCTTAGGACACTGCAATTGCTGTAAACACATGCCAGCCATCAAGAACTTGAATTTTGATCATGTGACTGATGGTCATAAATGCACGGATGGTTGTAAATCACTTTTTTTCAGCCCCACTGTTATTTACAATGGTTTTTAAATGAATGATTGTAAGTTGAGGACTACCTGTATCTTCTAGTGCTGCCTAAGTATTTCTTGGAACAATATCCAACTCCACTCCCATAGAGTTAGTGAGGAGACAGATCACTAGTGGAAGTGAGTAACAAAAAGTGTGTTTTTCTAATATGGTCTAGAGCAGGGGTGTCAAACTGCCGGCCCACGGACCAGATGCGTCATGCTGAAACTGCGTCCACCCCATTGCCGGCAATGGAAAAAAAGTCATGACACATCACGTGACGTTGCGAGTTTTGACACCCCTGGTCTAGAGAGGTTAAGACACCAGCTTAAAAAGCATCATACTGTGAGTTCAAGTTCCGCCTTAGCTGTGAAAGCCAGCTGGGTGACTTTGAACCAGTCACTCTCTCTTAGCCCAACCCACTTAACAGTGGGGAAAACAGAAGGAGGAGGAAATTGTGGTGGATATGTTCCCTGCCTTAAATTATTTGTAAAATAATAAGGGCAGTATATAAGTAAATATATCATCAAAACCAAGCTCAAAATGTAGAACATATTGTATTTCAAACTAACAGTGATGTACTTAAAAATGTAATTATCAAAAGAGTTTTGAGGGTGTATTTTGTAAAGTTAAATTGCAGGTGAAAAAGGTAACAAACATGGCAGAAATGGTCAGATTCTCCAAATAATAGCTTTTACAGCAACCCCCTAAATGTTGGATAGAATATAAGCTTATTAATTATATCTGTAGAAAACTGGGCATATTGTGATCTGCTGGACATGGCCCGATGGAGGAGTTCCATCTAAACCTGCAGGATGCTGGTCACTGAACACAGAAAGTTACGTCGATAGAGCTCAGTTTACCATTTCTTAGCTTGGTAGCTTAATAAGCAGTAATGATTCTACTTTTAAAATTAAATGGTGCTCAGCTTATTCTACCTTCTAATGGATTATTTGGGTCATTTGTACAGTTCAGGTATTTGGCAATCCATTTCCATGCTGAGTATAAGCAAAGAATACCAGTGAAGTTCAGGAAATGCCTATAATATACTGTATGATCCTGAGTTACTCGAGGAGCATTTAATTCTGTATTTTCTGTGAAATTTCAGGCAGCAGAAAATGGCAGAAAGAGAAAAACGGGCAGCTGAGCAACAAAGGAAAAAAATGGAGAAAGAAGTACAACGGTTAATGAAAAAAGAACAGAACAAAATCGGTGTGAAGTTGTCTTAATGCCACTTCTTATGCCAGCAAAGGGAAAGAATTCAGTTTCCACAGCATTGCATCATTTTCTAATGATCTCAGTATTTAATAGAACTAAAGTTTTCTGTTTCATTTTTGAAGTCATCCAGGAAAAACAGTTCATAATTCCTTAGTGTATCTTCAGCTGGACAGTTGAAATGACAGAAGCCTCATTGCACACAATTCCTCTAGGACAGGACGGGGTTTTGTGCTGAATTCGGATTGCATTGCATTCCTTGCAAAGAGATACTGCTACGTAAACTCTTCAGCTGCCTGTTTTGAAGCTAAAGTAAAAAAAAAAAGGTGTAAATAATTGAATGATGGCAATCTATTCTATTGTCTATTACGCTTATTACTGAAAAGACTAATTAAATGATTTTAAACAAAGACTTGCTTTTTTTGCTCATTCCCACAATTCTTGCTTGGTATTGTATTGCCTATTGTGAAGAAGCTGACTGAGCTGACAGCATTATGCAGAAAGTAAATGCCAGTTATGGTGATGTTGACTTTTTTTGCTTTGTGTCTCTGGCATATCTGTTTCAGAATTAGATGCTTATTTTCAAATAGGGAAAAATTAAGTGATAATTTTATGTGATATGGTTCCCAGCAAAACCCTCCTTTGTCTCTTTTTGGTTCCAGTTGATAGACAAGAGGTCAAGTCCTAGACCCCTGCAATGGGGGGGTTGCCTTAGGGCTTGTGTATTTCTCCTTTAATATCTATGTGAAACTGCTGCATAGGTCATCTGAAAGCATAGGGTGTTGTATCATCAATATGCTCAGAAAATACCCAGTTATTCATTTCTACCCTGAGCTAGACAAGTAATGCTTTAATGGTGCTATCCAAGTCCTTGGAGGCTGTGACAGTTTGTGTGGGCTCAACTCTCGCAAGATGGAGTGACTCTAGGTTTTTGGCCCCTCAAACAATGGTGACTTGAATGGGATTGTCCTCCCCTGGACCAAGCTGGCTCACAACTTGGGTGTCCTGAACTCATAGCTTCTGGTTGATGAGCAAATGGTAGTTGTGGTTGGGTGGGGGGGCTTTGCACATCTTGTATGCCCATTGCGTCCTTTCCTGGACTGAGAGTCCTTGCTCATGATCACTCTTGCTTTAGTTACTTCCCATTTAGAGTGGAATGCACTTTACATAGGGCTGCCCTTGAAGGCCACTTGGAAGTTACACCTGGTCCAGAATACATTGGTGTGCACAGTATTAGGTGTTAATAGGTTTGCCTATACCTCTACGAACTGCACTTTCTCCCAGTTTCCTTCTGAGTCCAATTCAACATGCTGGTTATCTTAAAAGCCCTACATGGCAGTGGACCTGGTTATTTGCAGAACCACCTCTATCTAAGAATATCTGGCTGTCCACTAGATAAGGTACTGTAGGCACACTAATCTAGATCCTTTCCCTGAAATCCTTCCACTTAATAGGGCCTCAGCCTTTACATGGCTGTCTCTAACCTATGGAATGCCCTCCCACCCCCAACAATTCAACCCCCTCCCCATTTTAGCTTTTTGGAAGGCCATCAAGACCTGGTTTTTTTACTCAGGATAGGACAGAAAGGAATGAAACAAGGGTCATTGTAGCTTACTGAGGAGCAGTAGGGGATAGTTAAAGCTTTTGTTTTTGTCTGATCTTTTTACTGTTTTATGTGGGTTTTTTATGGTTATGCTGTGAGCTGCCCGGAGTTGTTTAAGATAGGTGACCATCAGTGGTGGGATTCAGCCGGTTCGCATCACTTTGGCAGAACCGGTAGCTAATTTTTTGTTCCCCAGGCCAAGAATGGACTTCCGGAAGCAGCATCCACACAGAGAACCGGTTGTTCGCATATTTGAATCCCACCACTGGTGACCATATAAACCTTTTAAATAAATAAAAATATTGGAGGCAAAAAGGGGATAGCGCAAGATTATAAATAAACTTTTACTTCTTGGTAACTTAAGGGTTATTGCTTCTAGGCCAAGCATCCATAATTCTGAAAATAAATGTAAGGTTATCATAAATCATTATGAAGTAAGATTCCCTAAAGAGAAAAATAAGCATTTGTTTATTCTTGCCCGGAATGAATTACTCCAGTATCTTAATATAGCAAGCTGACCCAGTTCTTGAGTGCTTGTCAAACTCAGAGCTTGAAAGTCTTGTAGGAATCCTGTGTTCTCACAGCTTCTTATTTAGGATTGTCCCATGGGTGAGTCTCTTATCCTCTCTGATCCACCAGTCATAAAAGCAAGAGTAAGAGTTGTCTAAAATTCTCATAACAGAACTAAATTTCCTGTATTAAAAAGTTATCCAGTTGATGATGAAATGCCAAAGGATTAGTAGTACGTATTTAATGTGTTTGTTTGTTTTTTAATTCTTAATGTGGACTTCTCAAAAGGAGTTGGATAAGCAAACACTGTCACTTACTATGTATTTTTTGTAGTATTCAGTTATATGAGAGTTTACACATACTGATCTGAATCTTTCATAGACTCTAGGAGAATCTAAATATGGGAATATAAGATTATGTTAGTTAATTGCTGGAGTTATTTGAATAGAACTCAAAAAATGAATATTCTGAGAATAAACCTAAATATCACTAAATTTTATTGAAAGTAATGGGATTTAAGTTTCTTTTTCTTTGTTTCAATGGAATCCAATAAAAAACAACTTCCAAGGGAAAAAATTGTTAATGCTGTCAGTAAGAACACAGAATTGTGGCAATAGATTCAGACCACTGCTTGAAAAGCAGATTCGAAGAATTTATATCAATAAAAGAGACCTGCTGATTATCCAAATGGAAATGAAGATTATGTACAGAAGAGAGTGAAATATATATTCCAATGACTTGTAATAATATCACTCATTAGCAACTGGTAGTGCCATTTATCAAGTTTCCAGCAATGTCGTTCTAGCCACCTGCTCCTTCTGGAGAAGGAAAGGAAAAGAAAAAAAAAGGTTACTGTTTGAGGGAGAAGGGGAAGAGAATGAAATAGAAAAGGTGTTTTGAGCTTGAAGCAAACCGTTTCTTTCTGGAACTTCTACCAAACTCATGCTTTTGCGGCAGTTTCAGCTGAAAGAGAACCCAGAGTGAAATTGGGCTGATTTTATGCGGCAATTAAGGTTAGGTTGGCATCTGTCATCCCTTTTCCTTCTCTTCTGTCCAGCCCGAATGCCTGCCTGCTTGCCCTTGAGCTACCCTGGCACCTTCCTTTCCTCTGTCCTCACCCTTTTCTCAGCCGCCCTGGCCATTGTCAAGGTCCACAACCCTGTCCCAGATGAAATTACTTTGTTTTGCCTTTTCTCCACCACAACCCCTACTGTCCAGAACATCCAGGTTTGAGTCTAGACCAGGGGTCCTCAACCTTGGCAACTTTAAGACTTGTGGACTTCAACTCCCAGAATCCCTCAGCCAGCAAAGCTGGTTGAGGGATTCTGGGAGTTGAAGTCCACAAGTCTTAAAGTTGCCAAGGTTGAGGACCCCTGGTCTTGACTATGAAAAAAAGATATAAAAACCCAAACTCCTAAGACACATATTTCAGGAGCCTTGGTGCTCTCTGAGCTTGGTTGTTTTCTTGCAGATGTTTCATTGCTCAAACTAGGTAATATCAGCAATAGCAGTGATGATGTTACCTAGTTTGGGTAGTGAAACGTCTGTAAGAAAACCACCAAGCTCAGAGAGCACCAAGGACCCTCATTTCAACTCTGAGCTACATATATTCTCCTTTATTTTGAACAGATTGCTTCAAGTGATTTTTTTTCTGTGCCAAATCACTTATGCAAAGAATATCCTAGGACAGTGATGGCGAACCTTTTAGAGAACGAGTGCCCAAACTGCAACCCAAAACCCACTTATGTATCATCGGGGTGGGCGTGGCCCATTGGGTTGGCATGGCTTCGGTGGTAACGGCAGACTGGGTGGGACTAAAAAGTTCAATCAATGAATTCCAACTTTGCGAAATCTTTTTCCTGCAAGAAGTTGAAATTGATTGAACCTTTTTTTTTGCACACGGCGGCGGAGGCCTAAAGCGAAAAGGTTTTATAAAACCCAGCTGAAGGCCTAGGGCTGGGGCAACGGTGCGTGTGCCCACAGAGAGGGCTCTGCGTGCCACCTGTGGCACGCGTGCCATAGGTTCGCCATCACGTTCCTAGGACCTAGGAATTGCTCATAAGCAATCTCAATATGGTCTGAGAGATTATTTCTTAATAATATGCTTTGAATTTCTTAGGCACTAATTTTGAGCCTATTGGGGATATTTGGGGCAAAGAAAATCTCTAATGTTAGTGGGTATGCTATGGATTACCACTGCTCAAGAGAATGCAGACTTTGTGTCCCCAAGGTTTTCTATCAAGGATATGGAATTTGAAGGCTCACCAAATCTTTTCTTGGTATATTCTTTGAAGACAAGAAATGGGGCCAAAAATCAGAATCCCAACTGCATGATAAAAAGCCCTGCCCTTTTACATGCATTGGCTGTAAAGGGTATGCATGTAAAACAGTGGGCTTCTGATTGAAAACCAATTGCGGCCACCATCTTTACACATATTCCACTTAGTGGCAATGTGGTGAAAAGAGATGGTTTCAGTTCCACATACATGCACTTCTGCCCTCTTATATTTTGAAAGCAATTGGCTTGGTCTCCTCAAGTATTTAGGTCATTGATTCCTAAACTAGCCTTCTCCAACTTGACTGCTTCAGTGTCCACCCTTGGGTGTACAGTGCCAGACAGATGCAAAAAATGACTAAATGGCTCAAAACTGGTTTATTGAAGTGTACAAATGAAGGGTAAATACTGTGCTTCCCCGAAAATAAGATCCAATTGGAAAATTAGGCCTAGCATGATTTTTCAGGACACTCGTAATATAAGCCCAACCCCCAAAATAAGCCCCAGTTAAGATTGTCAGCCAGATGGACGTATTTAGTACCGTACTTCCCCCAAAATAAGACCTAACTGGAAAAAAAACCCTAATGCATCTTTTGGAGCAAAAATTAATATAAGACCTGGTCTTATTTTGGGGGGAACACAGTAGGC